GGTTTGTTTTATATTCAGAAGAAATATTGAAGCAATCTTTTTGGGAAAGTTTTTGTCTGGTTTTTGTAGCAAAATCATACCAGTCTCAGAATAAGCAGGGAAGTGTGTCCTCTGCTTCTATTTTTGCACAAGTTTGTGAAAAATTGGTATTAATTATTCTTTAAATGTTTGGTAGAACTTGTAAGTGCATCCATCTGGACCTAGGAGTTTCTTTTTGTGCAGTATTTAATTTTTAATTGCTATTCAATCTCTTTTTAAAGATGTCTTCACATTGTCTATTATTTCTTAAGTCAGTTTTGCTAATTTGTGTCTTTAGGAATTTGCCCATTTCGTCTAATTTACTAATTCATTGGCATACAGTGAGTTGTTTCTAGTATATTCTTTAATAAATATTATTCCTGTAAGGTCAGTAATAATTAACCTTTCTTTCACTCCTGACTATAGTAATTTGAGCCTTCTTTATTTATTGCTATTGCTTATCCATTTTGTTGATCCTTTCAAAGAATCAAAGTTTTTTTTGTTTTGTTGATTTTGTTTTCCTGTTTCACTAATTTGTATCATAATCTCTTACTTCCTTGCTTCTGCTAACTTAGTTAACTCTCACTTCCTCTTATTTTCCTAGTTTCTTAAATTATTATGTTTGGTAATTGGAGATCTTTTTTTAATATAATTATTTATAGCTATAAAATTTCTTTTCTGTACTGCTTTAGTTGTATCCCATAAGTTTTGGTCTGTTGCATCTTCATTTTTATCCATCTAAGTATTATTTTATTTCCCTTATGATCTCTTCCTTGACCTGTTACTATTCACAAATATATCAGTTTCCAAAAATTGGTGAATTTCCCAAATTTCTTTGTGTCACTAATTTCTAATCATTCCTTGTATTCAGAGAAGATACTGTGTGTATTATTTAAATCCATTTGACTTTATTAAGTTGTTTTAAATGAATGTATGTACCATCCTGGAGAATGTTTTGTGTGTACTCTAGAAAAAAACGTTCAGCTGCTGCTGAGTAGATTATTGTAGATACGTTTGCTGTAGTTGGTGTTGAGTATTGGTCAAGTCTTCTAGTTTTCTGTCTTCCCGGTTGTTCTTTCCTTAGTGAATATGAGAAGTTCAGGTCTCCAACTATCATAGCTGAGTCATCTGTTCCTCTCTCCATTTCTGACCTTTCGCCATGTCTTTGGGGACTCTGCCCTTACATATTCACTCCTGCTTGACACATCTTCCTGATGAATTGAACCTTTTATCATCATGCACTATCCCTTTTATTTCTAATTATATTTTATGCTTTATATGTCTGATCTTCATAGAGCCAGTCAAACTTTCTTCTGGTTACTGTTTGCATGATGTGTTTTTCTTGTGGTTGCTGTTTGCAAGGTATGTTTTCCTATCCTTTTATTGTCTGTCTATTTGTATATATGAATTTATTTTTCTCCACATTTTTATTGGCACATTATAGTTGTACATATGCTGGGATTTGTTGTTACATATTCATATGTGCACAATATAATTTGGCCAGTATCATTCCCCAGCACTTCCCTCCTCCTTACCTTTCTTCTGTTCTACTGATCTTCCTTCATATATATTTAAATTTAAAATAGTGTCTTTAGGCAGCATTAAGTCAAATCTTGTTTTTATCTTCATTGATAATCTTTGACTTTGGATTGTTTAATCCCTTCACATTTAATTGATATTGTTGTACTTGGATTTACATCTGCCATTTTACTTTTTTCTATCTCATGCTTCTTGTGTTCCTCTGTTGCTCTTCTAGTACTCTGCCTTTGCAGTAAGTGAATATTCTGTAGTGTAGCATTTTAATGTTTTTTTCTCACTGCATTCAAGTTACATTAATAATTATTTTAGGGCACATGCATCTTAATTTATCTGAATCTATTTATAATTTTTAACAGTTTTACAAGCTATAGAAAGATGTCTCCTGAATAGCTCTTATTCTTTTGTACCTTTTTTGCCTCTTACTGTTATACATGTTTTATATATACACACATATATAATATATGTATATAAGTCCAGTGGTCTGTTCTAATTATTACTTTGTATCAATTTGTTCTTAAAGAATCTGGGAGGAACAAGTGCCGGTTTATAACTTCTTTTATATTAACCTTCATATTGTCCATGTATTTTCTCTTTACTTGTTTTAAATAAGATCTTCTTCAGCCATCATGCCCTGCTTAACAACAGGGTACCCTCTGAGAAATGTGTTATTTGGCAATTTTGTCATCGTTTCATAATCATAAAGTGTACTCACACAAACTAAGATGGCTATGATGTCACTAGGTGATGTAATCTTATGGGACCATCATATCTGTGGTCGGTCATTGACCAAAATGTTACTATGCAACACATAACTGTATATCCAGTGTCAGCCAAAAAGACAGAGAAAAGGTTATATGGATTTTAGATTGTGCATGGCACAACTAAGGGGTACCATTCATATAGCAGTGGTTTTTGTATATATTTAGTTTGACAATTTATTGGCAGATGGCCAAAAATGTCTTGTCTTAATGATTTCAGTAACAGTTTTCTAGGATCTGGAAATAAAATGTCAGGAAGAAGGGGGTTTTTCTGAATCATACAGAGCGGAGTGTGATCCCTAGTGGCAGCCCCACGAGGGTCTGGAACTAAGAGATTGGGTGGTGCTCTGTCCTCCATTCACTCAAAAGGGAATCAGCAAATGAGTAAGCTTGATTGCAATGCCTACCTCGAAACAAGCATAGGTTTCTTTACCATTCACCTGGCCTCAGCTGTGTAGTTTTCCCAGACAGATTACCATATGGTATCTTCCATGGACAAGCCAAACAGGGTAGGGAAAGTTCCTTTTGTGCCACAAGTATGAATCCAAGAAGTGGCAGAGAATACCTGAGATCTTACCACACCTGGGCATTGGCCTTGGACCAGTGGTCCCACCAACAGGTCAAGCCCAGTGAATCCCAGACTCTGGCCAACCAGTCGAGCCATCCATTCTCTTCCCAGCTTTTCTCTGAACACATTGTTCACACTAGACTGTGAATTTCCTTCTCAGTACAGGAGACCAGAGCCACATGTCAAGGGGGATTCTGTTCCCACCAAGGGGAGACCATGTTCCCAGCACTTGCCACAGCTCTTTGGGCATCTTCCCAAGGATGGTGAGGTATAAAAGTTCATCTTGTTATTCTAAAACATCAGAAACAGGTCCTAACTTGGCAGGAGGTTAATTTACTCTATGGCATTTAAAGCACTCAGAAAAATTCACAACATAAGTGTTATTTCTTTGGGGGCAGGGGTACTAGGGATTGAACCCAGCAGTGCTCTCCCTCTGAGCTACATCCTCAGCCTATTTATTTATTTAGGGACAGGGTCTCTCTAGGCTGCTGAGGCTAACCTCAAACTTGCAATCTTCCTGCCTCAGCCTCCTAAGTCCCTAGGATTACAGGCCTGTGTTGCTATGCACAGCTGAGTGTTATTTCTTTATCCTTTTGATTTGCTGGGAACATGACATCTTGCAAGTCATGGACTTCCATTATTCATCAAATTAGATTATTTTATGTCCCCATTCTGACTTTACATTACTAGATAATTTCTGTGCTCTATTGAAACTTGGTAATTAAATAAATACCCAATGGAATTTACTATGATAGTGAAGTATTATGCTTATCTCCACTGCCCAGTAGTCACATGCAGCCAGTGAGCACTTGAAATGAACTTCTAAATTTTCATTCATTTTTATTTAATTTTAAATAGTCTCAGCTGGAGGCACTCAGATGAGATGCTCAAGTTATCATCTGAGATGTCCCTTTGCTTAATATTGTATGATTAAATCTTGCAAGGTACATTAAAAGGAAAAGCCCCCAAATCCGTGCATAAAGGTCTGTATGTAATAAAAGTCATGGACTGGGTCATGGAACTATATTATACAGAAACTGTCATAGATCTACCAGCCTTCCAAAAACTAAACTCTGACGTAAGCGAAATCTAGTATATACACATTGTGTGGGGACCATCAACAAGAAACAGGCAGCACAGAAAGTTCCAGGGGTCTGCCTGAGCTGAAGAGGAAGACCTACCTTCTGTGCTTCCATCTCCCTGTCTCTCATGAAGACTTCAGCAGAGGTGGGGGAGAGTGTTGTTCCTGCTTGTGGGGAAAAATGGAAGGAAAAAAGAAATCTTCAAAGCTGCAATTGGAAACATTTACTTTATGCAGATAGCAATTGAGTAAAAGGAATGAAACCCCCTACTGCTCAGTGTAGTACTTTTCAAAGAGCATGCTTGTAAAAGTTTTTACAGTCTTGCAGACTTTTCCCTGGGAGTCTTTGAAGTCAGGAGACAGAAAACATTATTAGGCTCCCTCCTCAGCGGGGCGTGCCTTTTATTGTTTTCCAGCACTCATTTTTCAGATACATGTGGATGAAAGCCAAGCTGCACACAGATAAAACAGACATAACCAGAGTATCTGTCCCCAGGGGGAAGCATGATATTAACAGGGTTATGGGAGATTTTTTTGTTTGTTTAAAACAATGTAAATGCTTAACTTGGGATCAGTATATATTAATGCCATTGTGATTTTCCCCTTCTCATATTAAAACATAACAGTAATATTTTACACTGTGATTTAATTGCCGCAGATACTGTGGTAACCTTATCCCAGCTGCATTCTTCTTTTTAATTCTGTTACCATTTCAATACAATGAAAGCCTGCACCCCAGTGCATCTGACATTTCACATTTCCTTTTCTCTGAGCTCATGGGAACTGTATAATCAGAAATAAAATAAAAATTTTAAAAAGAAATTATCATGTTCCTTCCCAGCCCATCATAGAATTTAAAAAAATGTCACTTTAGATGGATCTTGAAAAAATTACTTTCCCTCTCTGAAGGAAAATGTGCTGCAAAGAGAGAAGTTGAAAGTCACCCTAGCTTGACATTGTGAGCAAGAGCAGAGCCCACAGGTGACTTTAATTTTCCCGCAGGGGAATTAATGCTGCCTCATCCATTTGTCCCCAGGTCATAGATCTGTACTGGGGCGTTGATGAAGATGAATGGGACAGCCCTGAGCTCCAGAAGACACGCATGAAGCTGCTGGAGGATTGCTTGAAAACTTCTGCAGGTCCATGTTTTGTTGTGGGTATAAAAACACTAATGCTTTATATTAAACCCTAGATGAATGTGACTGACAGTTCTTGCCGATTTGTGATTCTTAAGGGGCTTCTAAAAATCATGAAAATGGGGGAGGGAATTACATATGTTTTAAAAATGTTAAACTGTCTCCTCACCCTCAACATGTGAGAACAAAACCTTCTTCAGCATTTCATAGGAAGCGCTGCAAATTAACGATGAATAATTTGAAATGTTAGCTGAAGGGATAGCTTGGGTTGATGATTTCTACACCTTGTGAGCAGCAGTAAGGATTACAGTTCAGTCCTAGAGTTATTAGCGTAGTTTTATCTTATCTCACCATTTAGTTTATTGCATTATGGTATTTCCGTTTCTCAACATTAGAATTTCTGGCATTTTTTAACAGAGTGGCTGCATAGTATATTGAAGTGAACAAAATATACTGTGTCAAATCCACCAGTACAAAATGGTACCCTGTGAAAGAGTTCATTTCTGTAATGACTTTCAAAGGCTCATTATAAGCTAGAGATTTTACAAGTGTAATGTCATTCATTACAAGTTCAGTATTATTTTCTGCAGAATGCTCACTCCTCTGGGTAGCATGTGATAGTAAGGTAAGTGAGTCGTTCTGTGGCAGGTAATTGTGTAAAACCACTGATTTGTTTAAGAACCTTGTCTTGAATCCAGACAGATTCTTCTAATCCATTGTAACAGGATGCTCTGAGGCTGGGTGGTTATTAATGAGGGCTATGAAGAAAATACTATATCATATCATTAAAAGCTAGAGACAGTATATCCATAAAAGGTTATTAACATTTATATACATATGCATCTATTTTCCTGTCCACATAGGATAGGAAATCCCTGCAGAGATGACTTCAGAAATCTGACCTGCTAATGTCAAAGTTTTTACTAAAAGAATTAAAGGGAGTATAGAGATTTTGTATGTGCCAGGAGCTATTGCTAGTACTGGGAGTATGGCAGAGTCACCCATGTAAAAATGTCATGTAATCCAGATTCTTATGATTTAACCTTAGACTTGAATACAGATAAAATTTCCTGTCCTCATTGAGCTTGCATTCTTATATGAATGAAAGGGGAGGCAAAAAAAAGAAAAGAGAAAAAAGAAACAAGGAACTAACTAAAGGAAACAATAAATCAGATGGTCATAAGTGCTATGGAGGGAAAATACAGAAAGAGCAGAGAGAATCCCAGAGAGGAAAAAGATTTACTATTTTCTGTAGAGCAGTTGGAGAAGGCTTCAATGATGAAGGTGACTTGAAGGACAAATGGGAAGAGAAACTGGAAAGCAGACTTACATTCCAGGGGAGGGGAAGGCTCTGCTTGGCTGCCTTGCCTAAAGGAAGAGCAAAGGCAGAGAATGGAAGTGTGGGCTTGTCATGGGCTTTGGAATCTTTTTTGTTGTTGTTGTTTAGAGATGAACTATCCATTTTGGAAAGAAAATTTCATTAAGACAGTTCTCCAATCTTGACATTGATTATAAATATTTAATTTTTGCTCAGAGTAACAAAGGAAGCCACAGAAGTGTGTTGAGCAGAGGACTGAAATTAGACAAGTCCCATCTTAAAGATGACTTTGGCTGTTGGGTGCAGAACTGGGCAGACCAGGCAGACCTTTAGAGAGCTTTGCAATAGCACAAATGTGAAATACACCCAGTGTAGGGGATTGGAAAATGAGCGTCTAAAAACAGTGACCTGTGTTCTCAAAGATTCAGAATAGGCCTAAAAGCCATGGTAATCATCTGAAGGAAGAATTAAAACACTTTCAGAGGATAGGACCAGGACTAGGGGATGGAAATTATAAGGAAGCCTCTTTCAGTTTTGGGTGAGGAAGTCAAAGGGCATAGCTTCCTCTCAGGTTTGGGGGTCACGTGGCCCTGGGCTCTGATTGTCATAGTTGAGTGGCACTGGATGACTTATTTCACTGTTCTAACACTTAGTTATACCCTCCTCTACTTTTAGAAAAGGAAACTAACAAAGCTGTCTATAAAAAATATAGACCACTACAATGGAAGATGGCAGAGGTCACATTCCATCATGCTCCAAAAAGCCAGATGTGGAAAGCATCACACGATGAGAAGACTCTGGGGTAGCTCATCTGCCATGATCTCCATAGCTGTATCTTAATTCAGCCTAAGAAGTTTGGGATTGAGAGAGACATTCTCCCCCTTTTATAAACCTGTAGACTGTCAAACTAACTAAAATTACTCTTGGCTGTTAACTCCAATAACTTGCTAGAAGGAGAAGGAATGAGTAATTTGTAGACTGCAAGTTTGTGCAGTTCTGAGAGTAAAAGCAAACTGATGGGGCAGGAGCAACAACTTCATTGCATGGAAACAAATCATCTGTCCCTCCTTCTGCTCCCTGTTTCAGGCTTAAACTCAGGGCAAACCACAGTGAAACCCTGCAGAGCAAGACAGGATTGTTCATCCCGTAGTCCCAACTACACAAGGCTTGCTCACTGCTTCTAGGAAAAAGTACACTTCTTCTGGCCATTCCTGTTGTAACTATGGTAACAGGCATGTGTGTATCTCTTTTGCACAAAAACTTCCTTGCCTAGTGCTCCTTTCCAGTATTTCTAAAAATCATAATGACCCCTGGGAAATGAAAAGCTGGGCATGTTACTTACCCTAATGCTAAAGTCTGGGCAAGAAAATTCACTATTACTAAATGAAAAAAAAAATTATAACTTAACAGATACTAGCCCTTTATGTTAAATACAGATGAATTCATGACCAAAGTTTTCATTTTAAATACCCAAGGAATGAGGTCCAGAGGGAACTTCAACTTAAGTATTATTTGTGCTTGATGCTCTTCAACTTTATTTTCTAAAGCATAATTGGCATGTGGCTGTGCTGGCAGTCCTACAGAGCAGTTTTCACACGTTTTTTGGTCACAAAGAGATAAGGTTCTAGAATAAGGGCACCTGGACATAATGTCAGATCCTGCTTGTGGAGAACTCGCTCAGGGGAGATCTCTACTGAGGGAGAACAACATTAGTATAAGGGGGGCAGAAGGAGGAAAAGCCCGGAATTTTGTATTTCACAGCCTTGGTGAAGGCCCTAGTTCTGACAGGCTGTCTACCACACTTTATCATATCCACAAAGGTGAGGACATAATAATGGTAAGCATAAAAGTAAATTTTGAATTAACTTCAAAGGTTTGTTGTGGGGATCAGATTGATCGTGTAGAGTTTTTGTGAAGTTTACAAAAAGTTACACAACCATTAGTTATTTTTAAACTATGATTTAGGTTATTCTTCAGTGAGAATGAAATTTTCACTCATATTGAACATTTATATGATATTGAATGTTTTCCCTTAAAAAAAAATGTTGGGATAGTCAACATGTAAGAAGGATTAAGACTTGATTCAGTCAAATATTAAAGTGTTTTAAAACTTCGTTCTTATGTCAATATTTTTTAAAAAGCTTTATAAAATGTATACAGTATATATTATTGTGCTAGATGCAAATTCACTGGATTTTCTGAATAAAATCTTTACCTGCTCCCAAGGAAGATCTTGACCAGGGCCGCAGTTAACAGGGAAACAGCTCCCAGTTGAGTCCAGAGTCACCACCTGCCTCATCTTTAAAGTGTAGAGAACTACCTCAGCTCATGCAGTGGGCCTCTCACCTGTCCCACCCCATAGACCATTTAAATAACCTATTGTAGAGCAAGAGGAATTCCACCTTTTGGAAAGAGCAGAGTCCCTGTAATACTGTCTCATCTCCATTGTTCTCTATGGTATGTACTTATGGGAAGAGGAAGTTTTCTTCTTGTTATCTCTCCAAATTTGGAACACCCCAAAAGAATTGCTTGTGGAATTAACTCTGAACTCTTGAGTGAGAACCTGCTTTTTGGCCAAAAAAAAAAAAAAATGATTTATCCATTTCAGGAGATTCAAAAAAGAAAACTAAATCTAAGGGAATTAGAATGAAAAGATACCCTCATCAGAATGCAACAGATTTTAAAATACTTCTAAAATTTTCCTAGTGTTCTTTGTACCTAAAGAGAAAAATCTGATATAGCATTTTAGAGCTGGAAAGGGCCTTAGTATCATCTAGTAACTAAGTGATCTAAAATACTGATTTTTACACAGAAAAAAAATGAAACCCAAGGAAGTGAAACAAATCAGTATTTCCTGAGCTCCTAAGATTTATATTTTATACCAACCCATTGAGGCAGCTATCTTTTAGTTCTGACATTGTGGGTGCTAAGATTTGAATGGTTTCTGCTTGAAGTCACAACTAGTGATATATAGAGGCGGGCTTCCAACCTAGGTCTCTTCAGTCACAAAGTCCACACTCTTCTATTCCAAGTCCCTAAATGTTTTTATTAGAAGCTGTGGTAAGGTGAAGAACCCAAGTCCCTCCACATATGGTAATGTCCTGTTTGTTTTCTTTGTGGCATTCTCTAGCAGTTGAGTGAGTCAGCAAGTAGCCACTGATCTAGTGTGCAGTGTACTTTTCTCTGGTGGGAAATAAAGCTGTGTTGCTCAAGGCTTTCTTAAGATTGTTTAAGTCAACTATTAAATTCTCTAATGAACCTGAACTTCTTCATCTCTTTTCCTTGGACAGAGAAACTTGAAGCTGCCTAAAATTTATGCTGGAAAAATGCCAAAAATGCAAATCATGGGCGGGGGAGAGTCATAAAGGTTTCTGAATTTTCCCCTTTGAATTTCCTTAGCATCTGCTCACAATACACAGTCCAGATCAACCAACCTGAGAGCTCAGTTTGGTTCTAGTAATGCATATTTCACGTGGTAGCCTAAAACAGCACAAGGAAATCTATGTAGTGCCCATCATGCTTGAGACTGTGCTAAGTTCTCTGAGGTGTAGGTAAGTAGCATACCACTTCTATGCACTTCAGCACCACCTAAACATAGGAAGAGAGAGGTGCAGTTAAATATGATATATTTTGGTAAGTGGGACAGTGCAGTGTTAGAACTGTGGAAGCCAAATGGAGAAGGAACAGTGTTCTGATTCTTGGCATCTGAGTGATGTTTACAGTAAGATTAAAAGGACTAGACCTGGGACAGAGG